CACTAGTAGTTCATTTGATGAATGGCCAAAACAAAATTCCGAATTATCTTGAGACTGAAACTCTGGTCTGATCAATGGGGAAAAAAATGCAAAGCCTTGCACTTAGGTATACAATCAGTCACAGAATAAACTGGTGGATGTGGCATACAAAACCTGGAAGGTTTAGTGGAGTTCCAGTTCAATTTGACCCAGCACCCATGACTGCTGCTGATAGGCCTAATACCTCACAGATGGGAGTTGTGGAAGAATAAAGTCACATCCCAAGAGGCTGCCAAATCACTGTTCTTCCTACTGCGTGCACACAGTAACCAGCATGATGAGAACTTGGAAATGACATCCCCAAGGGCATCCATAATAACCACAGATGGAACCTTGAACAGGATTACAGAAGTGCCTCCAAATGCCCAGATAGCCTGCCTTGGGAAGCCAGAGTGTGCTCTCAGTGAGCAGTCAGCAGCACTGGTTAGAGGTCAAGAGGAAGATGCTTCCCGGTAAGGAAGGCTTCCCACCAATTCCAGCACCAATTCCACCAATGGCTGGGCCACCTGGGGAGACGACGCTTCCTTTCTGCTTCCAGACATATCAAGAATTTGACAGTGATGCCAGAAACATCTTTAGTGTGACTTTACCAATACTTCAAGGCTAGGCATCTTTAACTTCATATTAGGTAACTAAGCAAGCATGTCCGGTCTCAGTCACACATGGGTCACCTAAACAGCTCACACAGCAGTGATATGCTAATGACTGCAAGACCAAGGGCTCACTGAAACCTCCTTTCCTTCCCCCACCAGCATCATGTCCTGAACATACAGACCACGAAGTACCTGCTTAGCTCTCCTTGGGGACATTTCCTTCATTTCCAAACCAGGGGGTCTAAACATTGTGCCAACAAACTCCAATTTTCAACTTCTTTGCTTCTACCAAAGGCACTGCCCACTCTCTGAGCTGCTTAGCACCAACACTGCGATCCTACCCTTGAGCCCTGCTTTCATCTGTCTCTATCCAGGAAAGCGAATCCTCCGGACATTCCACTGCTGTTTCTGCTGCAACCTGGGCCCCTCACCTCATAGCTGTGACACTGAGCCATCTCCCACCCCTGCCATTTTCTCCTCCTTTCCCCTCCATTATAAGTGCCATGTCACTTTTCTTCCTTCTACTGTCCCAATGAACACACTTTTAGTGATGCCCCAGAGTATGTGTGTTTAGGGAAGAGAGAGAGATTGAGAGACTGGCAGAGGGGACATGGCCAGGGCCCCTAGTTCAGGGTTTGTGGGGGGGGGGCTCTGGGGTAAGACAGCATGCCCACCTCACATTAGAAGCACAAAAGTCTGGAGTCATGCAATCAGCAGTGGGCACGGCTGGACAAGTAAGATTCAGTGGGGATGATGGAAGCAGAGCAGGGTGAGCAAAGGTGGACCACAACACAGAGGGAAGTTTCCATGACAGTTTCAGGAGCACTCCTACAGAACTGGTAAGGAGAGGATGAGGTCTCTCCCTGGTCCACAATGGGAGACAGACAAGCTTTCTGCATGAGGCGATGGAAGGGAACTAATTATAATTCCAGATGCATGGAGAGAAAAAACCCACACCCTACGATAAGTCATGGGATGGACAGCTTCTTACCTCTGACTGGGGAGTCTAAAGATGGGCTCTCACATATAGAAAGAAACCCTTTATTGAGAATACTTTTTTCTTTCTTTTGAAAAGTCATAATTTGGCTGCAAATGCATAATTTTCTCCTCTGGCTAGGAGTCTCGAGTATCTGCAAATATGCATTGCATAATGACTCTCTGGCAAGCTGCAAAATCCCATCTTGTTGCCTTTCATGGAAGGAAAATGAAGAATTATGAAAACAGAACAACAAGTGTTTTCTAACCCAGTGGTTCCTTTATCAACTCTGTGCCTGTTTAAGGCAACAATGACAGGATGTCAAGGCAAACATTTTGAATTAAGAGGAATCTGACTCTGGCAAATGAAAAGGCCAGCGCTCTGGCTTCCTTGATTGTTTAATTCAACTTGGACTGGGGAAACCTATTGTTGCTATATTGCCCAATCTGAAGAAGAGGATGGAGGCTTCATTCCCTAAACCTAAGGGTCCTCGTTAGATTGGTGTAACTATTTTTCTCCCAGAACCTTCACTGTCCAGATTGGGGGGTAGGAGGGATGGAGAGATATCAGAAGATACTGAACTAGCTTTGTAGAGAGGAAAGGATCACATTAGAACTACACTGAAAGGAAACTTGCCAGGGGCTGCCACTGTTGACTTTCATTCACTGACCTGGAACCAAGCAGTGGTCTAAGACTTTCATCTGGCATCACAATGTATGGGATATAGGTTGTGGAGGTCACTGCTGTTCTTTCTAAGAGATTCAAGGCACAGGCAGACTCTTGTCTCTCTTTGCCTGTCCTCTCAGTGACTATTACGGACCTGCTTTGGGGAAAATGAAAGGTGGAGAGAGAAATCTACACTGGTCTGGTATTGATGACCCTGTGGTTTGGAGGGGACAAATGGACAATCCAAACAGAGCTCCAAAGAAGGAGCCTGCACCCCGAAGAACTGCAGAGCAAGCACACACTGTGCCTTCCAGGAAGAGCATAATCCCTCCACTTATTTTTTTGAAGCATTTACTTTTATGATTTCTCCATATTACTTACAAATGCAATGAGGATTTTCCTGTGCTTCCTTTCCAGTTGTTTATTTTCCTTACAGACTGATTCCAAAGAAAATTGACATGGAGCTGTTGCAACATCACAAGCTGGAAGCCAAGAGGTTCACTTCTCTCTCCTGTTTTCTTTTTCTCCCCTGTGGGGTCTCCTTCTCTGACTGCTTTCCATCTCTCCCTCTTTGTGCCTTTCCTCTCTTACTCCATTTGTGTTGCTAAACAAAATACCTAAGATTGGGTAATTTATTTAAAAAAAAAAATCTTAATTTTTGGGAAGGCTGGGAAGTCCAAGATCAAGGTGCTGGTGAGTGCCCCATCTCTTTGCTTCCAAGACAATACCATGTTGCTGCATCCTTTGGAAGGGAGGAAGGACATGTCTTCACATGGCAGAAAAACAAGAGTGTGAACCCACTCCTGCAAGCCCATCTTATAATGGTGTTAATCCATTCACAAGGGCAGAGCTCTCAAGATCTAAACACCTCCTAGAAGGTTGTACTTCTCAACACTGTTGCACTGGGATTGAATTTCCAGCACATGGATATAGGGAACACACTCACACCATGGCACCCTTCTATCTTCTCCCTCTATGCACTGATTCTCTTCCCCGCACCCATCACATAACCCTAGTGTTGCCTCAATCACAATAGAACTATAAAGATTTCTTAATCCAGCTGTAACATGTACTAAAAGTCCATTTTTATTGCAAATCCTCCTCCCATCTCCCTAGATTTTAAGGTCCTAGAAACCATTCAAAGAGCTGTGGAAGGCACCAGATGAACATGAAAGTGCAGGAGGGCTCCCAACAGACATAAGGAAGACAGAAAACACTAAAACAGGATGTCAGATATAAATCTTCCCTGAGTCCAGACAAGTCAGCCCAGTAGGCTCGACATTCCACTCCTCCTCCAAGGTCATTTCCATTAGTTTCAAAACAGAGTCACTTCCATTTTCCACAGAAAACAAAGCCAAAAAAAAAAGATGTTTTCAGTTTCTGGAGAAAAACCATAGCTGTTTCTAGTGTAAAATGGGGAAGAAATGCCCTCATCAATAACTCTGGGAAAGGAAAACTGAGGATAAACTTAAGGATCAACCAAGGCAATGGGATCCAACAGGCATTTATATACAGTGATGTCCATAAAACAAGCCCTCCTACCCCACCAGGGCATGATCGCAAGGAGACTGAGAAGTATGAAAGGAAGCTATGACCTAAGATTAGAACCATGCTGAGCATCACAGCAATCAGGGTGAGTGCTCCCCAGGACAGCAGTGAGAAGCAAGCCCAGAGGATGTGACTCAACACTGATGCATACCAGCCTCAGTAGTCTTGCCTGAGAGAGGGTGGGCAGTGGACATGAGCAACAGGCATGGTCTGGGATGACGATGGGTTCTACAGGGACCCCATGCTCATTCTATGACCTGTTTTGGCCAGGTTCAAATTCCACATCTAGGTCCTTAGGTCCCTCCCTGACCAACTCTGCAGCCTAATCCAGCCACTCTGATCTTCTCTATAACACTTCATCTCCACACTTACCACACTCCAACCTTGCTGCATTTGCACTCACCCAGGACAAGACTCCTTTTCACTCCTCTCCCAAGTCTCCCAACTAATTAGGTCCCTTCTCCCTCCCTGCCACAAAACCCAGAGAGGACCATACCACAGCTATGCCAAGCTCTGGCACACCCCAAGTGATAGAGTAGTTTTGCTTTTTTGCAGCACTTCCATGGGTTGTGAGGATCTCACAGCCAAGGCCATCTCTGGGTGGATTATGCCAAGCTACATAGGGAAATTAACAAGAGTTTCATAATCCCACACTATTTCCCCAACTACAAAATGAGACAGGATAATATTATTTACCTGATAGTGATCCATGAGGATTAAATGTTTGTAAAACACCTAGCATGGTACCTGGTGGATCTTTAAATAATTGTTGGTTACTTTTATAATTGATGGTAGGGTTGAAAGACAATCTCAAATTCTTTCATCCATATAAAGAATATGCATATATACATATGCACACCATGGAAACGTGCATATGTACCTTAATACATAAGAACATATATTAGATACTATTTTTATGGTACAATGTTTTAGCTAAGCATTAAAACCAAAAGTGACAAAGGTATAAGAGAAGAAAAAATAGAAGTGCATGAAAATTTCGTAAGCTCTTTGCAATTTAAGTACATCTAAAATCTGTGAAGTAGTAGTCCGCATTTATACTGAACAGAACTTGAACATGAATAGGATTTGTTTTTGCAAAAAACATCTTGGAGAGGATAATAAAGAGAAGTATATGATTTGCAAACTGAGCAAAATGTTCAAACATAACTTTCTCTTACCTTTGACCCAACAAGAGAGTATAGCCACTGAATAGTTTCATTGTGGTTCACTACTCCATTCATCCCATCCACATACAACATAATCTGGCCCAAAGCTATAGAAAAGAAGAGAAAAAGGCAACATTAAGGATTTATATATAAATATTATTTTTAATGATCACAATGTTGATTACAATTTTCAGGCATTAAGTATGCAGTACATTAGGAACCAATTCTGAAAATGTGTACTGAGCTCTGCAATCAGCTAATTCTCATTTCAGAGACAAAGTGGTGACCACACCAAAAGAAACCCAGACTATTCCTGGCACTTGGACGATACAATTGAGGCAATAAATCCAGTGACTCTTGTTTCTTTGTGCCTTGATGTGTAAATGCAAGTTTTCCCACCTTTGTAGGTGTGTGGCCCCAGACAGAGCAAAGATACTCCTGAGCTGGTGTGTGGATTGTGGCCTCCCAATAGAACAAAGAGGACATGTGATGTTTCTAAAAGTAACCTACTCAGTGACTCGCCCAGTGATCAGCAGGTCCCAGACACTATGGAACCATCCTGACCTAACACAATTTTATTCCTTTATAGAAGTAATAAACATGCACTTAAATATTATTTGTAATTCCTTTAAAGATTTTCTGATTTAAAATGTCAGACATGAAAAAATCTTTAACATTGCAAGTCTTAAATTCTTAATTTAAAGCATAGTCACCACATATTGTCATTTTTCTCCAAAAAGGCAATGTACACCATATTAAACTTTTTAAACAAATATTAATTCCATTTTTTTCAGCTCTGTTAACTAAATAAATTTTCCTCAAAATAATCTGGGCTGTAGATAATACACAATCAGATGTTTCCTTAAATCATGTCTAACCTCCTAAATCATATTTCACCCATAATTAATTTGTATGGCATTGACATGTTTCAGGCAACTTTTTGTTTTTGCTAGTAGCAGTAGGCATCTCATTTTAGCAAAATGGAAAATACAGAAGAGTAAAATGAAAGTCATTTACAATACCATAATTTGAGGATAATTATTTTTGATACATTGATAGATGTTCTTTCGTTCTTTGTTATGCATTACACATACACAAAGTTTACACGTAGATTGTAGGAAATAATATAAATGAGTATCATTGATTGTAAAACACAAGCATGCAGTAATTCTAAGTATAAAACTGTATGTGTGTATTAGAAAATTCATTACCCACTCCAACAAAAGACTGAATAACAAGAGAAACTATGCATCTGAAAGTATGTAAAAACTCAAAAATTATTTGGACATATTATTCACACAGTATAGTGTGTATGTGGAAACAATAGACTCATAATCTAGTTAATTGTGACACACTGGAAATATTTTTTAATGATGCTTATTTAAGTCCATAAAAGAGAGGACAGGTGACATTACAATAACCCACAAACTTTTATACATTAGTGATGAAAGGGCCCAATGGCAGAAACCCTGTTATAATAAGGCTACTTTGTGCTGAAATTGCTTTAAAAACAGTTAGCATTCATTTAGTGCTCACTGTGCCAAGCTCTTTGTTATTAATACAACAGCCCCATAGGTTATTATTACCCCCAATTGATAGACAACAGACTGAGGCTCTGAGATGAAGGAATGTGTCCAAAACTCCATCCCTACCAAGTGGCAGAGACCACTAATAACCAGGGCCGGAAAGGGGCGCTCCTAGGTGTCTGTACTAAGAAACTGAGTCCTCCTTAATTGCTTTCCCAGTCAGTGTGATTTGGGGAACCTATCTCAAGGAGACAACTCTAAGTTTCAAAAAAGAAAGGGAAAAACCAAAAGGAAGGAAACAAAGATGTTCAGTGAAGTGTCATGAATGACACTGAAACAATAACGAATACCTAAATACCTTTTGTGATGCTGCAACTTAACCTCCTTGGTAATTCACCAAGGCTGTGTCCTAACCTATAAAGTGGTTTTGATAAAACTATTGAAAGACAGGTATAAGATTGTAAGTATCACTAATTCAATAAAACACCCAAATCTTCATGCATACAGAAAGAAAGCAACTTTGGGGACAGGAAGGTGGCTCAGTGGTACAGTGCTTGCCTAGCATGCACGAGGCGCTGGGTTCAATGCCCAGCATCACAAGTAAAGAAGAAAAGAAAACAAGTTTACAAAATATTAAGCATTGTGATTATTTCTTATCTGGACATATTTTTTCCTATTTCATTTCATTTCCCCAGTTTTCCAGTATAAACATCATTACTGCTGTAATAGAAAAGCAAAGTATGTATATATATATATATATTACTGAATAACAAAAGGTTCTGGATGCTTTTGTTTTTAGAATTTTTGACTAGTCCACCCCACGCTCCTTCAGAAATACCAGTCCCTACTTTCTAGGCATGCACTCTAACCACTTGAGCCACTCTAACCACTTGAGCCACTCCACCAGCCTAGTCCCTACTTTCTAGAAGTCCTCTAAAACTACCACCCATTCTGCCTCACTTTTCCCTTTTCTTCCTTCCTCCCCTCCCAGGCCAAAGAGGCATACATCCTGAGAAGGGGATTGTGACCTATAGCCCTTTTCCTGCTGAGTCCATTGTGGCAGAAGCCCATCCTGGGGCTCAGTTTACCATCTTCCACTAAATCAGCCTGAGGACACTGTGAAGAGAGAGAATAGGATTCTTCAGCCTTCTGGAAGCAGCAGCCTCTGTGTGGGGGGTGGGGGGAGGGGAGGGAACAATCCCCTTTAAGACTGAGAGGCCTGGAATGACATCTTCATCTCCATCCTAACTTCTCAAGGCTTCTGTCACTGAGGGAAGGAAGGCCCAGGAAGGCAAATGAAGATTTACACTCTAACTTGATCTGTTTCCCTCCAAGAATTCCCTCCATTATTGGAAGATATCTCTAAGTTCATGTCTAATGACATTCAAGTTCCCGATCACCCCGGTTGGGCATAGTACTTTGGTAACGCAAAGCTTGCCCACTACTAAATCCTTTGTATCTCAGGCAATCTTCCTAAATCTTTTGTACCAGAGGCCGTCTTCCTGCAAAACCCACTTCAGACACAAGATGGCGCTAGAGAGACTCAAGTGGGTTCATACCAAGGTTTCCACAGCAAAGATCATCAGTGTGAAGGTAGGTCTGAGAATAAAGCTCTCAGAAAGAAAGTAGATGCCCTGGAAACACACATGCACAGACCGCAAGAGCCATGAAAATCAGTGGTTTTCAAGAGGGTGGAGGAGGCTGAGACAGTCAGAACAGGGTTCTGTGATCTGTGGCAGGTGACACCACAGGTCAAGGAGAGGCAGCCTGGGGACACTCTTGTTTCACCACTGATGGAATTCACCCTCAGCATATTTATTCATTTTTCTGTGAGCTTTTTTGGATCTCCAAAATGAGAGAGTAACACTGAAGGGGCGTTGTAGGAACTGAGTTAGAACAGTGACTAACCCTGTGAACTACCTCAGTTAGGTCCACGGTCAGTCATGTGTTGAACAGAAACACATTCTGAACAGGTCTCCAAGACTCAAAGCCGGACAGCAAATCCTTCCCCACCACTAACCTCAGATGCTGGTCACTGTGTAGCACCAAAGGGCGCCTCACCTAACCCCAAACCACCACGATTTTCCCCTACATTTTTTTTTCCTTTTTCTTTTATTATTCATATATGCATACAAGGCTTGGTTCATTTCTCCCCCCTGCCCCCACTCCCTCCCTTACCACCCACTCCGCCCCCTCCCCCTCCCCCCCTCAATACCCAGCAGAAACTATATTGTCCTTATTTCTAATTTTGTTGTAGAGAGAGTATAAGCAATAACAGGAAAGGACAAGGGTTTTTGCTGATTGAGATAAGGATAGCTATACAGGGCATTGACTCACATCGATTTCCTGTGCGTGGGTATTACCTTCTAGGTTTATTCTTCTTAAACTAACCTTTTCTCTAGTTCCTGGTCCCCTTCTCCTATTGGCCTCAGTTGCTTTAAGGTATCTGCTTTAGTTTTTCTGCGTTGAGGGCAACAAATGCTAGCTAATTTTTTAGGTGTCTTACCTATCCTCACCCCTTACTTGTGTGCTCTCGCTTTTATCATGTGCTCAAAGTCCAATCCCCTTCTTGTGTTTGCCCTTGATCTAATGTCCACATATGAGGGAGAACATACGATTTTTGGTCTTTTGGGCCAGGCTAACCTCCCTCAGAATGATGTTCTCCAATTCCATCCATTTACCAGTGAATGATAACATTTCATTCTTCGTCATGGCTGCATAAAATTCCATTGTGTATAGATACCACATTTTCTTAATCCATTCGTCAGTGGTGGGGCATCTTGGCTGTTTCCATAACTTGGCTATTGTGAATAGTGCCGCAATAAACATGGGCTAACACCATTTTCTTAAGAGACATCCTCTCTCTTTTTCATTGCTTACACACATTTGCCAAAAGTTCATCCACTGCGTTAGTGCAGGTCTGTTTCTGCTCCATTGACCTATCTAACGCTGTGCCAATGCCCCATTATCTGAATTACCATGGCTTTATAATTAAGTTTCCAAATTAGACAGGTATTTTCTCATCCTTTTCAAGATTGTTTTGGTTGAGCTGGGCATGGTGACTAATGCCTGTAATTCCAACCACTTGGAGGCAGAGATAGAAAAACTGCAGATCAAGGCCAGTTGGGGCAAAGTTAATTAGACCTTATCCCAAAGATCAAGCCAGGTGTGGTGATGTGTACGCCTGTAATCCCAGCTACATAGGAGGCAGAAGTAGGAGGAGCACTGTCTCAGGCCACCTGAGCAAAAGTCAAGACCCTACCTGAAAGACACCTACAGCAAAACAGGGTACAAGTCCTGCCTAACAAACATAAGGCTCTGAGTTCAAACCAGGTACTTCCAAAAAAAACCGATTCATTCAGATATTTTTGCTCTTTTGCCTTTTGTCTAAATTAACAACAAAAATCCTCCTGTTACTAGAATTGCACTTATAGGTAAATTTTAAGAAAACCAACATCTCTATGATGTTGAGTCTTCTAATCCATAAATCTATGTATTTAGATCTGATTGCTTTTGTCGGTGTTTTCCAGTTTTCAACTATAGATCTGGTACATGTTTTCTGGTTTTGTTTTCTAAATTGA